CAGATAAATAGATAGACAGACCGACAGACACAAAAATGATAGATAGATGGACCGAACGACGGACGGACGGACGGACGGACGGACGGACAGACAGACAGATAGATAGGGACATTGCATATTTCTTCATATTTTTAGGGTGCTTCGCCATTGACTGCTTTGCATAACTGCATAATTTGCATAATTTCTTTCAAACAATGCAGACATCATGTGCAAAAAAACGACACAATCAGTGAGTGCAATTCATTCGTAGTGATTTCCCCCCTTAGACCTCAGAGTATAGCATTTATCAGTTCTGTTTTAAGAGGAGCAATTTGCAGCTTGCAAAATAATGGCTTTAAGATTTATTCGAAGTATCGTTCAGCAAAGAAACCAGAGATGGAATATTCAGTCTAGAGATATTAGGATATTAGAGAAGGATATTGCTTTCTTTTACAAAAAAATATGGCTGCAATAATGCTCAGCACCAACAGCTGAAGTTTTTTAATAAGAGTCTAATACAAACACTCAAGTGAGAGAATATTAAGAGCAGCGTTACAGATCCGCACAGACATGGTGTGATCGAGTGTGATAGCATCAGGGAAAACGTCATGTGCCTTATTAGTGTCTACCTGCAGATAGATGAGAATCAGCGGCTGACCTCTTTGCTTTCCTGCAACTCAAATGTAGTCAGAAGTCATTACAGAAAAAGGCATAATCAATCACAGAAATATACTTTCAGAAGACAGAAGCAAGGGAAAAAAGCAGGATGCTTTTGTGTTGAATATGACGAGGAGGAGGAAAATATCCTCTATTATCTTTTTAAAGGTTCACTGGCTTTGGGAGTCATAATAATGATATGAGTGCATAAACTCACAGAAAACTATAACAATAATGACCAGAGGGAGATTTCTTGAGACATTTGGTTGAAATGGGAAGAGGTTTTGAAAAACAAAATTCTCCTGCCTCTGAACTGTAACCACAAACACAAATGTTCCCCAAGACTGTCTTAAAATGAAACTAATACCAGTGCAGTTTTCAGATCTTACTTTTGTTGTTATCGGTTGTTGTTATCTTATCGTTATCAGAAAGCTCTTATAAAAATCAAGACATCTCCTGTTGATTAAGGAAGTTTGAGGACCTCAATCATTTACCACTGCAAGGTGCATGAATAATCAGTGCAAACAGTGAATGCAAAGGACATCTGAAAGAAGCCATTTTAACAAATCAATATCAAATATTAAATATTTTCAAACTCACCTACTACTTCTTCCGTTATTTACAACTTTCTCACATATTTTGAAGTTCTGTACGGGTTTGCACTCATTAATAATTCCACAGCACAAATAATAGGAAGCAGAGACCTTGTCTAAAGCATAATAAAAGATATTTCATCACACTGATAGATAGATAAATAGATAGATAAATAATTACATACAACCAATCAAATTCTCCTTTACAATTTGAATTTTGCAGATGACAGTCCATAACCCTTTATTATTTTGCAACTTCTTATTCTGCCTCATCTTTGTGAATGTTTTAGCTTTATTCTTTTAAATATAAAGAGAGAAACAAATGAAAAACCACTTTGAAATAAAGATTTGACAGAAATAATACGATTGAAGGTTATTTAATAGTTTGAATAAATATAAGATTTAGGGATGTCAGTTTAACGCGTTAAAAGTTATGAAAAATTAACGCGATTAAAATATTTTAACGCAGTTAACGCACTGGCTCGGCCCCCAGACCTGTACTTCATCTTACATTTCATACAGTTGACTGTTGACAGAGGCAGGGCAACAACACCATAAATGCAGCTATGCCCTAAAATGTAAGATATTGGGGCAAACAATGCCCCTGTATGAGTTTTTGTCTCATATTTATATCGTATGATAAGCGATATATCACATGCGCAGCATTCACACGAGTGCTGTTTGTCCCGAATATAACAAGCGCAAATGTGATTTATACAACAGTTCAGTAAATAAGAAGTTAATATTGTTATACTTTAAACACAATAGTGTCTGTTTTTGCTCAGTTTTTACATTACCTATATAAAGCCACAGCAGAATTGTTATGCGTCTCCAAGCAACACAGCAGTTTAGTTTCTGAATGAATCTGCGTTTTGAACAAATCGAGTGAACCAATGATTCAAAGGCCCATTCATAAAGTGAGCCGTTTACTTCATTCCTGAATGAATCAGCCGTTTGAACGAATCGAATGAATAGTATTATTTTATTTAAAAAAATAAAAAAAATAGGTGAAAACTAGGGATAGTTCACCCATAAAAATTGTATTACGTCACCATTTAGGCTACTCAAACCCCGGTGACTTAAAGGAACAAAACTGAGCACAAAAGATACTGAGATGTTTCTCAAATTATCTTATTTTATGTTCCATAGTTTATGTTAGGCCGTTGTAGCCTAAACGTTTATGTGTAATATATTTTATGTTGAATCAAATAAAAATATTTATTTCTAAAGCTATCTGTAATGTCTACTTAATACCTTCTCATTTAACACAAAATTAGCATTAAATAATCTTTTGGGGGTATTTTCACATCCAAATGTAATTAATTACATTTATTAATTACAGCGATTAATAAATCGACACATGTAATTAATTAGATTAAAAATTTTAATCGACTGACTGCCCTAATAAGATTATTTGTTAATGGATAATGTTAATACCAAATACTGTGTCGCTGATGCCACTCTAATGGCTTTAGAGGATGTATAAATAAATGAAACACATGGAAAACATGGAAGATTTCTTACTGCTAATGGAAAGAGGTTGATTTCAGTGCTAAATGCTTGGTCTCAAAACTTAATGTTTCTTAATTACAGAAGAAAACTCAAACATAGGGTATAATCATGTATAACCTTGCCTAATTGTAGTCACCATTAAGGTACTTATTGGCCAGTGTTACTAAATGCCATGTACTTGTAACAAATGGCATGCATTAGAAACCACTGATCCTGATCAATACATCCAGAAACAGCTCCATGTTGCAGCAAGCAGCACAATCTGAATCTGTGTACGTGGAAACACCATGACTGCCATCCAGTGGTACACTAAGGTTTATCAGCACTACTGATCCAACAGAGGCGTCTTTGTTCATCTGCTGCTGTCAGTAGAACAGAATATGCAGGATGCAGCAGTTAAAAAACAAAAACACAACACTAAACAATACAAACCTGATTATTACTTTGTGGTGAAATGTTTATATTCTCTCCCTCTGATTTTTAAATACATTTGCAAGGAAGACAGATACTACCTACTGATGAATTTGAGACCCAACACTAATAGAAACAAATCAAGACTAGTTCATTTACTTATTAAAATTAAACATTATTTTAGTTTTACATCTAAATTTAAATCCGTTTAGCCCACACTAAGTGTGTTATAACAACAACAATAATCATAATAATAATTATTATTATAAATGTTATTAAGAATAATAAAATAAAGCAATGATAAAAAAAAACTATATACTATAGTACATTTAGATTTATACTATAGACTAATAAATAATTATAACAATAACGATAATAAAAACAAATCATTAAATTACAAGTGTTTTAAATTATTTTTAATACAAAAAAAATGTATTGCAATTGTTAATTACAAGTGATAAATAAAATACAGTTATTATTAATAATAATACAACAATAACAATATTGATAACAGAAAATTACATAATTCTTTAAAAAAGAATTATAAAACAAAAATAATATAGTATGATTATTATTGTTAATAATTATATATTAAAACAACAATGATAAAAATGTTAAACAAAAGATAACTGGTAACACTTTACAATAAGGTTCATTAGTTAACATGAACAAATAATGAACTGCACTTATACAGCGTTTATTAATCTTTGTTAATGTTAATTTCAACATTTACTAATACATTATTAAAATCTTGTTAACATTAGTTAATGCACTGTGAACTAACATGAACATCTGTATTTTTATTAACTAACGTTAGCGTAGATTAGTAAAGACAGTAACAAATGTATTGCTCATGGTTAGTTAATATATTAACTAATGTTTAACTAATGAACCTTATTGTAAAGTGTTACCAGATAACTATTATTAAAATGCCATAATTTACATAATTGTTATTATTAATAATAATAAAATAATGAACATTGTTAAAGTTAACTGTAAAACTGTAAAGTTATAATAGCAGTACCACAGTCTATTAGCCTAAGAAAACACTACAGTTATTAACCTAATACAGGATATGGCAAATTCTTAGAACCTTTACTTTTCGCTTCATAAGGATCTTATGAAAAACATTTTAAAGCAATTGATAGAATTCTAGAAATTGATTTCCATGCTAGGTACCAATTGTTCAAATTCAACAAATCCTAGAAGTGAAAAACAAGTGATACAAAGGAGAAAAAAAAAAAGTTTATTTGGCAACATACTTTGAAGTTTTTCTTCTAAAAGCCAGTGGAAAACTACAATACAAATTGCAGTCTAGGTTAGGTGATATTTGCATAAAAGAGCAGTTTTAAATTACTGGTGAAACCACACCTCCGAGCTCAGAGTGCTAAACAAACACTAAATAAAACGTGTCTTATGTTCAGACTGAAAATGCAGTGAAGCGGTTTTAGTCATGGCGCTTGTTGGCACATTTTCACACAGAATACATTCTTCTCATAAAACAGTGGTGGAAATGTAACAAGTCCTACAAAAATATTTCAATAAAACACGAAAGCATAAAGGCAGATCAGTTCACAGAAGTTAGTAACTTGCAGTTAGGCATGAGGACTTCCTGAAAAGATACATTTATGAACCACAGGTGGCACTATTAGTCCATGCTTCGGCACTCTGTCCTCAATAACTGTGCTTTTCAATGGCATCATCCATGACAGTCTAAAAACCACAGTACTACCACAATACATCTTGATCTACAAAAACACTTCTTGCTCTCTATGCATTGATGGTGTCAACAGGTGTTGAAATAAAATGGTTAGATTTTCAAAAACCTAACAAAAATACTCAAAAAGCGTGCAAAAAAAAAAAAAGAAGAGACAACTTTGCCTACTAAAAAGGATTTCTACTTAAAACGGTCAAGGAAAGATACATTGCAGAGCAATAAAGTTAGTGTTGGGCGCATGTTGGCCAACTACATTTCATGATATCCTAAAGTGCCACAGTCGTCAACCAGTAGCCATACAGTGGTCATCTTCTGTTAAAAAGTATGCATACCATTCAATCTTAGTCTAGTTATTTGAAATGAACTAAGGGAATGAAAGATTGTGATGAAGGCTTACCTTGACCAGTACAAAACCTTACTAATCAAGTTTTGATTTTAATAAAGAAAAATGGCTCTGAGGGAGTTTCCCCACAGAGCAGCAAGTAGATTTGGTGGGGAAAAGTCCAAGTGTAGTTCAAAGTAAACAGCATCGCTCTTTGAAGCTCTTCTTATTCTTCTTATTTTTTCCCTTCCCGTTTTTGTCCTTATTTTCTGACATCTTTTTAGCACGGACTTCCCTCATTAGATCAAAAAATACCTTTGGAAACACAAAGGGTTCATTATTGCGCAGTATGACAAAGTTGTTCAAATTAATGAATAAAAACAAATGAGCAGTGCAAAAAATATAAAATATTTTCATAAAAATAATAATAAAAGCAGAATTAAAGAGAAACAATTTATTTTTGTGGTTTCCCTTCCCAGCTCTAAATTAAATAATGAATACTTTTCCGTACCCACTGTATATATATATATATATATATAGTTAAATTAATACTAGCAGCAAAAATATTTGTTAAAATGAGTTTGCAAATGAACAAAACAGGAAAGCGCAACCACATTGTGATATAAAAACCAAAAGACAACCAGGTAGAATTAAAAGAAGAAAAAAAATTATGCACATTTTTCTATTGTTTGCTGAACAGCCTCTCTACTCCTGTAATTTAGTGGCACTAGAGTACATATTGATTGCTGAAACTGCATTACACAGAAAATATTCCAAAACTGGATTCGGCTACATTTAATAAACTGTAGCCACTATCATCATGCTGTCGTCAAGGAATCCATCATTCCACAATACAGACAAGATGCATTTTATAAAAGCAAGTGTATGGTTATGCACAGCAATGGAACAATTTGTGGTAATGTGTCACTAAACGGGAAACAAAACTAAATTGTAATACTGAAGTCATTTAAAAAAAAAGTTAAATTAAAAATTATACACCAGAAAAACTGAACCCGAGACAGATAGACAGACTCTATCTAGAGTATATCTCAAATCTAAATTAAAAAAAATAAAAAGATTGCTGAAACTGCATTACACAGAAAATATTCCAAAACTGGATTCGGCTACATTTAATAAACTGTAGCCACTATCATCATGCTGTCGTCAAGGAATCCATCATTCCACAATACAGACAAGATGCATTTTATAAAAGCAAGTGTATGGTTATGCACAGCAATGGAACAATTTGTGGTAATATGTGGTAATGTGTCACTAAACGGGAAACAAAACTAAATTGTAATACTGAAGTCATTTAAAAAAAGTTAAATTAAAAATTAAAAATTATACACCAGAAAAACTGAACCCGAGACAGATAGACAGACTCTATCTAGAGTATATCTCAAATCTAAATTAAAAAAACACACAAACACAGGCACAGATATTACCTTATCCACATTGGCCCGTGTCTTGGCAGAAGTCTCTACATACTGCACACCCCATTCTTCTGCTTTTCCCCTGGCCTCATCCACTGAAACCTGCCTCCGATCCTCAAGGTCCGACTTATTTCCAACCAAAAGCAGTGGAATCTTATCCTCCTCAGCTTTAACCCGCAGGATCTGCTCCCTGTAACATACACGGATATATTTAATGTTGAGTGGCCAAATTTTCTGACTATACTAGGACACAACAGGAGATCCAATTTTCCGATTGTACTAGCTTATGCTTCAAGTAGCTAGAATGGTGCAATACCACTGACCTGAATTCTGCTGAGGCCGTGAAAGACTCGTGCTCCGTTATGGAGAACACCAACAGGAAACCCTCCCCACTACGGAAATAGTTGTCTCGGATGGCCGCGTAGTCTTCCTGCCCAGCTGTGTCCAAAATGTCAATCTGCACCTCTTCTCCATCCAACACCACTTTCTTCCTATAGCTGTCGGCCTTTGTGGGCTCATAATCTTCAACAAACTGAGGGACAGAAAATAGCAATAATCACTACTGTTAAATAAACGAAGGCAATGCATTTAAGACTTTTTCTTTTTGACAATTATGGAATAAGTGAAGCCTCCACAAAAAAAAAAAAAACACTTTTGTCGGCCTTTGTGGGCTCATAATCTTCAACAAACTGAGGGACAGAAAATAGCAATAATCACTACTGTTAAATAAACGAAGGCAATGCATTTTGAAGACTTTTTCTTTTTGACAATTATGGAATAAGTGAAGCCTCCACAAAAAAAAAAAAAAAAACACTTTCTGTAACTGCCAGATTTTGGTCTGTTGACTTACCTCATCATACATAAACTGCAGGGTAAGAGCAGACTTTCCTACGCCTCCACTGCCTACCATAATGACCTTGTGCAGGACAAGGGAGCTCTGACCCTTACTCTTATTGGCTGCCATATCTAATTTCCTTCCTCAGGTACACCACAAGACGCCCACAGACCAGCTGGCACCACCTGTGGAGAAACAAAACCATTATGGCGAGGCTGAACCTTCAACACAAGCACAGGTGTGCAGTTGAACTTTCATTTTGGATTTATAGTTCTTAAATCATACACAAATAAATTGTGTCATGCTGGATACAAACATTTAAAAAAAAAAAAATTAACACTATACATTCTAACAAAAACATTCATTTGTAATGGTAATCCATATGGCATGTTTTTTAATTAGGGGTGCTCCGATTGATCGGCTACCGATCACTATCGGCCGATAATCGCTTTGGGATGATTGATCAGCGGTCTCTAAAAACCGATCACAAGCTGATGACGCGCCTGCCGTGAGAAGGTTTAGCACGACATGCAGCGGCACCGTCTCAGTCTCTGTCCGGCGTGGGTGAAATAATTACAATGCTGAAGGTGAGGTACTCCTTCATATTTTTTAATTAAATAACTGTGCAGACGTAATTTCACAAACAGCATAAGTGAATCACCACGCGTCGGCCGATAATCGCTTTGGGATGATTGATCAGCGGTCTCTAAAAACCGATCACAAGCTGATGACGCGCCTGCCGTGAGAAGGTTTAGCACGACATGCAGCGGCACCGTCTCAGTCTCTGTCCGGCGTGGGTGAAATAATTACAATGCTGAAGGTGAGGTACTCCTTCATATTTTTTAATTAAATAACTGTGCAGACGTAATTTCACAAACAGCATAAGTGAATCACCACGCGCGTTCTCTCTCAAAATACGCAAATGTCTTCAAATCACCACATCGCGTCTGTCTATAAGCGAGCTGCACAGTTGACACAGGAATTGTCACTTGCACAATCGAGGCAGTGTCACATCGTCACTAAAGTTGATCAATTGCATTACTTTTCAATTATTGCCAGTGTTTAACCATTCCGAGACTGCGCTCATGCTAGTGTTGGGTCGTTCTTGAAAGATTCGTTCATTTTGCTGAACGAGACTCAAAGGTCCGAGTCTGTAAAATGATCCGAACTTCCCATCACTAGCTCATGCACACTCGCAGCACAACACACATAATGCCAGGTTCACATTACTCCGTTTGCAGTGCGAATGCGGTGCGTATTTTTCCTCGCTCATGTTAACGGATTAACAAAGCGTTTACTGCACACGGTTGCTGTCCGGCAGTGCGCTCTAGAAGCAGTGCAGAGATCATTTCCGCACCGAGTCTATTGCTGCGCTGCAAGCGCTAAATTAAAGTAACAGCGCATTTTTTTTGCAGTAAATATGAACATGGATTGACACGAAAATGTAGTAATTACACCATATATGCATATTATTAAAGCCTACTGTGTTTCACAGTCAACACATATAGGCTATGACTTTTTGGCTAGGTTTAAAGGGAAAGAGCACTTTTAGATAAAGAAGGCAATAATAGATGGCACTCATGGAGGTAGGGAAACAAAGTTCTTTACGAACCACAGGATTGCTTGTAATAAAGATTTCAATGCAAAAGGAAAGGCAGCAGAGCTGACTATTTCTGTCAAAGGTAAATGTGTGATAACGTAAGAAAAGTAGTTTAAATGCCACTTGCTTGAGCAACTTAATATATAAATCTAGAAGTAAATGCAAAAGTAAAAAGCATTGAATAAGGCAATAATAGATGGCACTCGTGGAGGTAGGAAAACAAAGTTCTTTATTAACCGCGAGATTGCTTGTAATAAAGATTTCAATGCAAAAGGAAAGGCAGCAGAGCTGACTATTTCTGTCAAAGGTAAATGTGTGATAACGTAAGAAAAGTAGTTTAAATGCCACTTGCTTGAGCAACTTAATATATAAATCTAGAAGTAAATGCAAAAGTAAAAAGCATTGAATAATGTGTTGCTTATATTTATTGTGTTTAAACATGTCTGTGAAAGATTGCATTACTGTACTGTGTAAAAAAAGAATTGCAATGTTGAAAAAGCATTTTCAGTGACAATGTTTGGATTTGAAATCAAACGAATGGATAAATGTTGTGTTTGTGGTAAACGGCCACGGATCAGTAGCGGACTCCTGTGTGAAAGCTGCTTCTCCTCTCACAAGAGTCACCTAAGAGGGGAATTCCCCCCATTTTCAAAAATGGAATTCAGGCCCTGAATAAATATCTAAAAATCCTGATTGGAGTATCACTATAAATAGTTATAAATGATAAAAAGAAGGCTTTAAAAAGATCGGTATCGGTGATCGGTATCGGCAGATACTGCTTTCTGTGATCGGTGAAAAAACCTGATCGGAGCACCCCTATTCTTAATAAATTCACCTTAAGTCACCATAAATAGATTCACAAAAACCTGTTAGATTTAAAAAATCTCAGCACTAAGAGGAAACTAATTATGGCTTCCTTTTGCCACTCATTTATCACATTTACACACACACACACCAAAATAAAAGCACCATTTTTAATTTTTTTGCCATTTATTAGGGTGATCCATACCAGAAAAAAAAGACAAACAAGTGCCAAGCATTTTTTAAATACAATATGATGTACTTGGAAAGTACAATGTATATCATGTCATATATAATGATATACTGTATTGTATCAGAATCACATGTACTGTACATTTGCATGGGTAGCTTATTTTAATTTGCATTATTTGCATCCTCTTCTGGGAAAAAACTTATCTATGAAAATAAAATCTTGTTGGTGAAAAGCCCTGGAATTATTTTTGAGCAGAACTGGTCCTTTCCCCATCCACAACATCTAAAGCGGAGTGCACAAAATAAAAAAATAATAATAAATAAATAAAAATCACTACCATATTGCACTACCATATTGCACTACCATTGCACAATGTACACTGTGGAGCTTCTGTCATGAAAACAAATTCCTCGTGTGTGTAAACATACCTGGCAATAAAAACTCATTCTGATTCTGATTTCACAATGTGGTTTCACCTTAGAACAGTACACTAAAATACCATTTTATAATGATGCAAAATGTGTACTAATGAAGCTTGCTAATTATGCTGAATTTACATGTTTCAAATAAATATGATTGTACCATCTTCTTTGGAGAACCATAGCTGATTAATGAGGATAATACTTAATTAGGCTTAATTAAGTCTGAAATCCAAACAGCTGGGCTAATTCTGCATCTTGCTATGATTCATAAGACCATCCATATGAGAATAATGAGAAGACCACAGAAGAACATTCATATTAGCCTTCTTAAGCAAAGGAAAGGAGAACATGACCCACTGCTTCCAGCTATTGTTCCTGGTGGTCCCTCAAAAAAAAATGCCTAAATAGGAAACTGGGGCATTGTGCAGGAAGACACAAGAATCTGCTAATGAAGGCTTATTTAAAGATGTCAATTTAAGATGCTTGGAGTTCCTTAACTATTCAGTCATGTTGGGGGATGAAAGTATGAAGAAGAAGAATAAAGTAGTTGGTAAAACTTTTTTACCACGCTAAAAACCAGGGTTTGATAATAGCATGATTATTTTTAAAAGAAATCACTCAAACTCCTCACCATTGCTGAACTTGTTTGATCACAAATACAGAAAAATAATGTGAAATATTATTGCAAATTAAAATAACTGTTTTAAGTGTGAATATATTCTAAAATGCTATTTATTCCTTTGATAGCAATAGTACATTTTCAGCAGCCACTACTTTAGTTTTATGTGCGTCACATGATCATTCAGAAATCATTCTAATATGGTGATTTGATGTTCAAGTAACATTTCTTATTATCAATGGTAAAAACAGGTCTACTGATTAATATGGTAACACTTTACAATAAGGTTCATTAGTTAACTACATTAGTTAACATGAACTGCACTTATACAGCGTTTATTAATCTTTGTTAATGTTAATTTCAACATTTACTAATACATTATTAAAATCTTGTTAACATTAGTTAATGCACTGTGAACTAACATGAACTAACAATGAACATCTGTATTTTTATTAACTAACGGGAGCGTAGATTAGTTAATACAGTAACAAATGTATTGCTCTTGGTTAGTTCATGTTAGTTAATACATTAACTAATGTTTAACTAATGAACCTTATTGTAAAGTGTTACCATTAATATTTTTGTGGAGAACAACATTTGTTTGATATATAAATCTTTTGTACACTCTCAAAAATAAAGGTGCTTCAAAAGGTTCTTCACAGCTATGCCATAGAGCAGTGATCCTCAAATCTGGCTCGCGAGATCCACTTTCCTGCAGAGTTTAGCTCTACCCTAATCAAACACACCTGAGTTAGCTAATCAACTTCTTTAGGATCATTAGAAAATCACAGGTAGGTTTGTTTGATTATAGGGTTGGAGCTAAACTCTGCAGGAAAGTGGATCTCGCGAGCCAGATTTGAGGATCACTGCCTTAGAGGAACCATTTTTGGTTCTACAAAGAACCTTTCAGTCAAAGTTTCTGTAAAGAACCATCTCTTTCTTACCTTTTTATAATCTAAAGAACCTTCTACAGTCTACCACTTACACATTGCATTTAGTACATTGCTAAAGTATTCATTTCTTTCTTCAAAAAAAAGAAATTAAAATAAAAAATAAATAAATTTCTCATCCCGATCTTTTGAATATAAATAACTAATATAAAAAATTAAAAAAAAAAAA